CAAATAATCAAGTAATACCTAATTCAATTAAACACATAAGCAATTAGTCAAATAATTAATTAAATAATTAAAAAATACAATTAAAACAAATAAATAAATACCGAGACTATCCTTTTAAAATTAAGGGTATTACAGAAGGAGACTGTCAGAATGTCATGCGAAGGTCCCCTCAGGCTCCCCTTGTTGCAGTGGTTCTTGAGGATGTTTCTCATATGCTTAGGGTCTGTTTGGATGGCGATAACGTTATATGTTATGGTTTGGTATAATATGAAAACAACCGTTTTAGTATTGGTATGTTTTTAGTAAAAATTGGATCCATGTTTGGTAACGATTGTTTTGTTTTTGATAATTGTATATCAGAAATATGATAACGCGTCTGCTATTGTCATGCGTTTTAAGGAATCCGAAAACAAAACACATTTGGGACTAATGTTTTGTTATCAAAAATTCTGAATCAATAACAAAATACCTGTTTGGTAAATACTGTTTTGTTTTTGTTTTGAAAAATTATATATATGAATACAATTATAAGTTTATATGTAAATAGTCCATTTTTCTTTATGATTTGAGATAATTTGTTAAAATTAAAAAAGAAAAAAAAAAAGACATTAAAGCTTGTGAATAGTTTTACCTCACTTAGATTAGTTTGAAATTTTGTAGTGGAGGTCTTTCAAATTGGTAACATTTTTTTTGTTTAGTCATGAGACCATTTCCCATTTTCTTGAGTATTTATTTTGATAACGGACTTGTGAATATTTCATACAATATCCAACCATAAGCAGAATTGATAAATATGAATAAAGATTAAAAGCAAGCAATCAAGGAAGATCCCTCTTACAAGACTGAACAACATTCACATATATACTTTCACGTATAGTTTTGCTTTGTACATCACAATGTTAAGAACTTGAGTATTGCACCATTCACATATATACTTCCACCTATAAGGAGCTAGACATTCCTTAAAAATAGTATTTGTGTACACACACACTTCATTACACTTACATAAAATGTACACACAACTGGAGATCACTAATATTCATTCCATAAAATGTACACCCACTTAATACTTGCATAGGCCTCCATTTGATTAACTAAGAGATCACTATATTTCTGGAGTTGCAGCAACTGGAGAATGCTTCCTATCAATCCCACTAGTGCCACTGCCTACAACTTACTGCCATGTCCTTCAATGTAGTAGCAAAAAATGAATTTGAATGTAAAACAAGACATTACCTATAGTAGCAAAATATAAAGCAGCGTTAAATTCATTTTTTTTTTTTTTTTAATCCGGCATGACTTCCCCTTAAAAATGGACATTTCCAAAATTTCAAAACACAATAAACACAAGGGACACCGCCCACAAAATTAATTCAATAAGGGACACCGCCCACAAAATTCATTTAACAGGGGACACCGCCACAAAATTATTTCAACAAGGGACACCGCCAACAAAATTCATTTAACAAGGGACACCGCCCACAAAATTCATTTAACAAGGGACACCGCCCATAAAATTATTTCAACAAGGGACATTGCAAATTGAATTCAAGAAAGGTATATCTAACCTTCTTTCAGACTAAGCTGCAAATTTGGAGTGTAAATGACCTTATGCAAAACAAAACACATGAACAACATTAGAGAAAAACAAAATAACACACGGTAGGAATGAAATAATTTGAAGTAGTAAACAAGATATATCTAACCTTTTTTTAGGCTAAGCTGCAAATTTGGAGTGTAAATGACCTCATGCAAAACAAAACATATGAACAACATTAGATAAAAATAAAATAACACACGGTAGGAATGAAATAATTAGAGGTAGTAAACAAGATATATCTAACTTTTTTTCAGGCTTAGTTGTAACTTTAAAGTGTAAATGACCTCATGCAAAACCAAACACATGAACAACATTAGAGAAAAACAAAATAACACACGGTATGAATGAAATAATTAGAAGTAGTAAATAAGATATATCTAACCTTTTTTCAGGCTTAGTTGTAAATTTAAAGTGTAAATGACCTCATGCAAAACAAAACACATGAACAACACTAGAGAAAAATAAAATAACACACGGTAGGAATGAAATAATTAGAAGTAGTAAATAAGATATATCTAACCTTTTTTCAGGCTTAGTTGTAAATTTAAAGTGTAAATGACCTCATGCAAAACAAAGCACATGAACAACATTAGATAAAAACACACGGTAGAAATGAAATAATTAGAAGTAGTAAATAAGATATATTTAACCTTTTTTCAGACTAAGTTGCAAATAGAGTGTAAATGAAATGCCCTAAAGCTCACTCCCAAAATGACAGAGAAGAGAACACAACAACAACTAATACGCAGTTCAAAATATACCATTTAAGTATATATTACATACCAAATGAAACACAGGAAATTAACTAAATACGTATTACATGTCATATATTACAAAAGATTAAAGTTTATATAACTTTATCTTTCAATAACAACGATAATGAGCAACAAGAGGACAGTCAAAATAAACATGATTGTGATAGCTAGACATCCATAACCTAGGAAGAGTATGTACTTCTGTCTACATTGTTCATTTTGAATCATTGCAATGACTCTGTCCAAGTCAGATTGAACCTGTTCTTCAACTTGTACACCTTGGTGCAACTCATCCACCCACATAAATGCATTCATATATGACTACAAGAAATATAAATTATACAATTAGGAAACAGTAATAGAAATAGCACCTAAAAGTTGAAAACCATACCTCCCGAGCTGGACACCTATAGAATTGTCGACCATCATTTTTTGGAGTTCGAGCCATATACAAATGCATAGGACCTCTACCACATGCACATTGTGGTCGCTCACATTCAAGCCTATACATAAGTGCGCCTACAAGTACTAAAGCATTTAATATTTGATGTCCTAATATAATTAGTTATTACAGTTATCCATAAATAAGGAGCATCTAAGTTTAATTTACGTAATATAATTAGTTATTACAATTATCCATATTAAAATTCTACACACTATTAGACAGTTTTATAATTAGTGATTACAATGCTCCCAAATTAGGTTGGCAATACCATCACGATAAATATCCATCTGTCGTATCTGTGTATTAGTAGCACTGACCACCTGAACATCGTCATCCACATCAGGTTCATTTTGTGAAGATTGAGGGGTTTAAGAATAAAAAATTTCATCAGATTCACCTTGGGATCTTATGAAATTATGCAATGTACAACAGGCAATGACAATAAGAACTTGAGTGTCAAAGTGATAAGGGGGCATTTGCTTCAATATAGCGAATCTCATCTTTACCAACCCAAAACATCGCTCTATGATATTCCTCAATAACGAATGCTTAAAATTGTACACCTCTTCTCTACCACGTGGTCCTTTAGTATCTCTACGATATTCCTGCATATGGTAACGTTGACCCCTGTAAGGGGCCAAAAACCCCAGTTAATTGGCATACCTAGAATCCACTAAATAAAACTTACCTGTCATGTTAAGTATGTTAAGTATTAAAATTAACGTATTTGTAATGTTCAATGCATAAATATGGAAAGGTAATATTTTTACCTTCGGGTGATGATGGAAAATTGAAATCCTTATTCTGAATGCACTCATTTAAAATCTTCGAATCATTAGCAGACCCTTCCCACCCTGCTAAAATGTATGTGAATTTCATATCAAATGAACACACGGCCATGACATTTTGGGTCGTATCACCCTTTCTACCACGAAAGGGTATTTGTTGGTCAACTGGCACTACAGCATGGATATGAGTACCATCTATAGCTTCTACACAATTCTTAAAGTATGGGTAAAACTTTGGATTGTTCTTTATCTCTTTAGCAATTTCATTCAAATCCGGAGGAACAATAATCTTAGTCCCTAACTCACAAATTAACTTTAATACAGTATGAAAGTGATATGAAATTGTGGATGTAGAGTGTTGGAATCTTTCAGTAACGACACGATTCCTTTCATTGTGAGACACGGTAAGTAGGAAAATTGCAACTTGTTCTTCTACTGTTAGAAATGTTGAATCTTTCAATCCTAACAATTTCAACTCACGACACAATGCCCTAAAGGTGTTGGGATACATCCGAAAATTTTCATAACACCTATCTTCATGTCCATTTAAGAGCTCGAATATGTAATCTTCCCCTTGCAACATGGAATCCCTACAACGTTGCTTATCAAAATGTTTATGATAGTACTCATATACGGCTGCGATCAATACAAGAATTTCCTCCTCCTCATCATCATCATAAATGGTTAATATTGTCCTTATATCCATAGCTACTATCCTATTTAAGAATAAATAGAAGCAATTATTGTAATAAAAATTAAGCAAAATGGAAAAGACATACCAAATCATACAATTATCCAGTAATAATGTAAAAGCAATAGATATAGAACATAAATAGTTTTCCAGCATTAATTTAAAAGCAGTAGATAGAGGAATTAAATACAGTCTTCCAACAAAAATGTAAAAGCAGTAGATAAGAAAATTTCATTACAGTCATCCAACAGTAATGTAAAAGCAGTTATAAAACAGTCATCCAAAAACACATAAAAGTAAGATACCGAAGAAATCACAGAGGTTGATTCATCACCCACCCAGCCTTCCTGTCATCAGGAATGCGAAGAAATATGTCCCTCCACACCTTGTCCTCACCAAACATCCTTATAATCTTAGCATAATGGGTATCATCGATCCCCACTAATGTGTTGACGATTTTAACGCACTCTTCAAGCTGGGGATCCATTTCTTTTTCTTTTTTACTGGGAGATGTCACTTCAAGCATTTCGGTAAATTGAGATGGTTGACAACTAGAAGATGATTCTGCTATGACTTTTGCAATTTTATCAGCTTTCGCGTTCCCAATATTAGTCGAACATTCCATCACTAAAGACATTGTTTCTGAAAAAGTTTCTTTCTTCTGTTTCTTAGCTACATGTTTGGGAGTAGGACTGAGGTTAATAGGTCCTTCTACATTAGGTCATTCTACATCAGTCATGCCCGCATTGCCCTCAGTGTTATGAATTTGAGCTTCATGTGTTGCCACTTGAGGCATTGTTAGCACTTGGTGAGGTTTGGGTGGCTTTGTAGAAGGATAAACATGCTTGCCAGTAGCATGTGTATTCCCAAAAATCCTTACCATCTGCTCATAATTCTTACATCCCTGTTTTTTTATTTTTTTGCCATGCTTGAGAACCTACACGTTATTAGCTTATAATTATTGTTCATCAAACCCTTTTAATACTAAATCACTAATTACTAACTGTATATATGATAAATAGACACGTATTAAAATACTAACCTTGCACAATCGAACCCATCTTTCAGCTTCCAACTCAATCATCCCAGTTTCACTGTTGTACCCTACACCAGTCTCAGATAATATTTGTTTGCAATCTTTGTACAGTGCTCTTATATTATTGAATTTTTGTCTACATTGGTCCTTCGTGTACTTCTTTCCAGTTTCCAATAACATTGCATCCACAATATGTGTCCACCCAATTGGATTAAAAGTCATGTCTGTACGATTTCCTTTTCCAACCTCTTCCTCCATCAAGAACATGAATTTCTCTTGATGGGCATCACACCAAACAGCAGCATCGGCCTGTTCAATAACTACAACATCCTCACCATTCTCACCATCAAGAGAATGAATGTCTCTTGATGGGTATTGCTCAACATTGTCATTGTTCATGTCCATTAATTATTATTAAGTAATTGAACAGTTTAGTACATTGAATTGTGTTTTGACTCATAATTCAACACGTCAATGATAAGTAAAGAAGGTACTGTTTATAAAACACTTCAATAAGGGGCAAAAAAGAAGAAAAAATGAAGTAAAAATATGATAAAAATCAGTCTCCTTCCATTTTCTTCAGTTCAAATTCTCGCCATTTTCTTCATTTTCTTCAGTTTAAATTCTATTTGTCAAAATCAATTAAATCAAGCACATGATTTTCTTAAAAATCAGTCTCCTTCCTCAATTTCAAAGTCAATTTCTATATAAGCTAGGTGATTCAAATTAGATAAGTTTCCATTTCTCTAGTTGATGTTCTCCTAAAGGTTGAGAAGAACAGTGATCTCAACTTCTCTCTCACAACTGACAACATCAAAGCTGTGATTTTGGTATGTATATATTCATACAATTTTACAATGTTTCATGTATATATTTATATCCACACATAATACATGTATACATGAAGCACTGCAAAGATTAAGATATAAAACAATTTTCAACATTTTAAAATTGTTTTTTGCAGAAATAAAAGAAAAATTGTAGTCAAAATTTAGTATTTGAGGCTAGCTCTTTGTTACAGTTTGTACACTAACTACTAGTTTAGCATATCTAAGAGCAAGGTGAAGGAAAGTGGTACATAACAATATAACACACTGGATGAGACTCATCTAAACTGAAAAAGCACTCACGAAGATTGCTCTCGTGTGTTCATGTTACACGAGGATGATGAGAGAGAATAGAAGTCAGGACTCATGAGTTGAACATGAATTGACCAACATCTGAAAATATTATACTGCTAGCATAACTGGCAATATTCATTTCATGTAATACCATTAATTTGGACTACAAATTAATTAGAAATAGTACTGATTTAGTTTAAATAGATATGGCATAATATGGAAATTTAGTAATGCTAACAAATTAACTAACATTCATGGTCTTTTTTATTTCATGGTAGCTCAATCATTTTTTAATTTCAGGACATTTTTGCGGCAGGGAGTGAGACTTCTGCAACAACCATAGAATGGGCAATGTCATAACTACTAAAGAACCCAAGAGTAATGGAGATTGGAGAAGGCACAAGCTGAGGTCCGAAAGGCCTTTAAAGAAAAGAGTAAAATTGATGAGACTGTCATTCAAGAACTAAATTATATGAAATTGCAACACACACAATCGATGGATGACACATAAACCCTTAAATCAGAACCATGGTTGATAGAAGAAACAACCCTGAAAAGGGCTAAAATCAAACCTTAGATCTCTGTCACAGCCTCATGAAACTTGAGATCTGGACGCAAATGCCCTAAATTACAACACTCACAACATGATTGGAATAAAGATCAGAACTTGGAAACGCGAGAGAGAAAGTGATTGTCACAATATTTTAGAGAGAGAAAGTGAACACGAGGACCTCCCAAATGTAAATCTCAAAAGCGAAGATATATGTGATCTATAGATACAAACAGAGACACAAAATGAGGTACCTGGTGGAGGAGCTCTACCAGATCGGTGATGGAAGAGGTTGGATCGTGTAATACCCCTAGTTTTGAAAGGGATATAATCGGAATTTTATTATTTATTTCATTGTTTTCAGTATTTATTTTATTATTTTTAAGTGTTTATGTGGCTATGTGTGGAATTTGAATGACGTGTTGTTTGAATTGATTTGTGAATTTAATTTAATTATATGCTTAATTTTTATTTAATTTTTTTATTTGGTATTTTTAATTAGATTAAATGTGTATTTTATTTCTGGTTTAAAATGATGGGCTTGGACAGTAGCGATGTACCAACCGGTTGGGTCTCATGGACTACTCGAATAGGAGAGTAACGGGTACTGTTAATATCCATGGATGATTATACATATATTTTTTTTGGTATATGTGTATATAGGGTAAATCAAATTAATAGGATTTTAGGGTTGTATATAACCATGAAATCTGTAGCCGACTTATATATTATTTATTTTATATTTTGTTTTATTTTCTTTTATTTTTAGTTTCCTCCTAGAATTAAAATTAGGTTTTCCAATACACCTATAAATATATTGTGTTACGGCTGGTTAGGGTTGAAAAACAAAACACAGACCCTATTCACGTTCTGGGATATTAGGAGGAAACAGAGAGAGGTTTTTGAGAGAAACAGAACAAGTTGTGAGGTTTTCCGGTTGGGGCTTCAAGGCCCAACCTAGGAGAAGGGAAGAGCAGAAGTAAGGGGAGGCTAGACAGTAACTCAGTATTGCCGGAACAGTGGATACGATGCCGGAATTTCATAACTGAAATCACAGGCAAGTTCTTTCCTTTCTCTCTCCCGTTGCTTGTGTTCTGTGCATCCTTAGACTGTCTCTAGGGTTTTAATTGATCATTAATTAAATTATACATGCTTGTTATATGCTAAATCAGATGTCTGTATGTGTGGAATTATTCTGTTAAAGTTCTTGTGCCTCTGGTTTACAGTTTGGAGTGGAAGCATGTTTGATCGGTTAAGGTTTTAAACACTGTAATTGAATTGGATTATTATGAACAAGTCATGGGGATGATATTGGGTGTAAATAGGATTCTTAAACTCAGTATTAAAGATGAACCGAAGGTTAGGAATAGCCGGAGACGAAGCTAATAATCAAAACGGAGCAACAGAGCAAGAAAAGTGAGCGGAGAAGGCTCTCAGAGAGGGAGAGCCGGCTCTGGGAGCAAAGAGCCGGCTCCCACTCAATTAGAGCCGGCTCCAAGGGTTGTGGGAGCCGGCTCTAGGCAGGTTAGAGCCTGCTCCAATTATTTGGAGAAGGCTCTGTGGTCCTTTAGGTGTTCTGAAGCAGTTTGGGGCTTGTTTGGTTCAACTGTGGGTTTCAGAACTGTGTTTAGGCTACTGAGATGGTTTTAAACACTATACCATTGAATGTTAATGCCCTAGGATGTGTAAACTTATTTATATGCTAAGGTTTTAAACTGTAGGAAAAATCTAGGGCAAGTCGCAACAGTTTACGGACTTGACGGACCGGAAGGATTTCATGGTGCAAACGGTGTCTAGAAATTAAAAAAGGATAGAACATGGATTCTAATCATTGTACCATGCTACATTAGAGCCACGCTTGATAAATTAATGTCTCTGAACTCATGGATTTAACTGTAGGAATGTATACAGCAGGGCAGGTTGTTAACGGAGGGAAGAGGTTAATTTGCTTAATTTAGTTTTAGCAATTTAATGGAGTATGTATATATTTATAAATTTGGTTGTATGTGCATGCTAGGATCATTTAATTAACAAGTGTGATCTATGCATATCCTAGATGTTAGTTGTTGAAATATATAGTATTTCCCTGCAATACATGGATTTGAGTTAGGGATTTTAATTGCCGTAACATTAAACACTACTCGGTAATTATTTGGATTATAGTTTTTAAACTAGATCATGTTTTGGATGTTAATTGTTGAAATCTGATATATTATTCTACAATTAACTGGAGTATGGTTTTGAACCTTAATTGCTGAAATATTATATAAATTATTCCGTAATTAATCTGGATTATGGTTTTGGATATTAAAATTGATGTACTATTATTCATAGTCTGTAATTTACATAGTTTTGGATTTAAATTGCTGAAATACTCTTCTGCAATTATTTGGAATGGTTATGGACTGTAAATTTCTAAAATATTATTTAATTGTTGCAATTTACACGGATATGGAGGATTGTATGCACCGGTATGGGACGGTGACATACTAGGTATGGTTTAACTCAAAACGCTAATTCCTACCTTATGGATTTTAATTGGTGAACAGTTTTACCTGTTCAACCAATTATATGGATTTTGTGAATTATATGCACCGGTATGGGACAGTGGCATACTAGGGACAGACTGATTCAAAATACTCAGTCCTACCTATTTTGGAATAAGGGTACGGGTTGTTAAATAAAATCCTCCTTATATATATGAGTCGGTGCGGTTGAATACGCCGAACGACTTACTGGATTTCTTATGGATGAATGTAACGGATTTTATATATATTGTTATGGTACTGTGACATGAGCTTGAGTCTCATAGTCGATGGTTAGGGAGCGTATATGCAGTAGGATGCGTAGCTAACTATGTTGGTTGAGGTATACCCTGTTAGGCTTAGGTAGTCATGCCCACTCAGGTGTGTATTGCATATTGCCTTCTATTCAAGTTGAGACCCTCAGCATAGTTTAGTGAGAGTCTTGTAGTGTGGATATATATATTTATCTATTACGGACTATATAGATATGGTTGGGACATCTAGGATGTATCTGCGTATCGGGTCTCTGTTTGGATTGTAATTAGGATAGAACTTGTTCGTGGGCCTGACCCACTATTATTTTTCAGGTAACGGACGGTTCCAAGTCTTAGAGCTTGTTCGTGCTGAACAGAGACGACTACTCATTCTACCGACGATGTAGGAGGTTCTTCATGGTTTAGCAGTGGACTTCTTTTTAGTTGTTCGCTTCCCAATATTAGTTTTGATTAGGGGTCCACCAGATGGATTCCCGAGTTGTATTAGAATTGGAAAAGTTAGATATATCAGACTAGTTCTTATTTATAAAATTTATTCTGAAGTTTTCAATAAAGGATTTTCATTTAGTTTCTTTCCAACGAATTTTATTTACTTATGTTTATCTTAATTATATTCTGTGTTCGATTATTGCTAATTGGTTTGATATCCTCGGGTAGTCGGGCGTGGGCCTGGCCAACCCGCATCCGGAAATCCGGGGGTATCACAGATCGCCACTGAAGTCGCCTCCAAGGAGCTACGTGAAGAGAGAGAAACGACGCTGAAAAAATGCCCTAAATCTGATATGCGACCTTATATATGTGATATCACCGCTACAGTAAAAATGAGGGTTGGTTTGGTTTTGGTTTGAGAACAATTCACCGCTACAGTGCCATATCAGTCTAATATCACCAAAATGTTGATATGGGTTTTGGCCCAAAAATAATAATGTTTTGGCACTATTAAATATCATATCAGCCCGCTCCAAACATGATATTGGCCTAAAACCAAAACCAAAACACCAAAACAATATTAGATATGGGCCTCCAAACAGGCCCTTAGTGTCTCTCCTAGTTTTGGTCTTGCTTAAACCCCTAGGTCTTATAATGGTGTTGCTCATGCTTTGGGTAAACATGCCCTTAAATCTAAATCTTCTGATTTCAGTTGGGAGGTGTGGCCTATGTATGGTTGAGAAGGATATCCTTTCTCTTCTTGGTTAAGTCCTATTGTTTTTGTTTTGTGATTTTTTAAATAACAAAAAAAAAAAAGAAAAAGTATTTTCCTTATCAAAATACCACTAAACCATTATCTTCCTTTAACTCATCCGAACATAATTAACCCCAATCATTTCTTTTTTTTCCCTCCTTGTCCCTCCAAATCATCCCATCCAAAACCCTAGAGGAAGAACCTTCTAACTAAACCTACGTAATTTGACCTAGCTAGGGTTTCAAACTTCGACTTGCTTGTGAAACCTTGTTTTCGCGCTTCTCTGCAATCCCCACGTATTGCTTCTCTGCTTGGTTGCCGAGGATTTATCGAAAAAAGGAAAAGGTATACCAATATGCAATTCTTCTCTTATTATTATTATTTTTTCCTTTTCCTTTCTCTCTATCTAGTTATCCATTGTATATAACGGTGCGTTATACTTAGCTTAGCTGAAAATTTCAGTTCCCCCAAACTGAAAAGATCAAAATTAAACAAAACATAAGATCACACACATTACAGAATTTCTGAATTAACTTTATTATGTTGCACTTCGATTGTTTATCGATTCTACATATAGATGTATGTCTGTAGTTGTATGATTGTATTTATGCATATATTTATTTGTATTTGGTGATGCAGTTAAAAGCATTCATGTGTTCAATGAAGAGGAAGTCGGTAGAAGACCCATCTGAAGAATCTATACCTCCACCAAAACAGCAGAGAGAGAACGGTAGAGTAAGCATGGATGAGCCTGTAGCATGTGTGCACGATGTATCATATCCTGAGGGTTACATTCCTCGTTCTTCGGCTCCCTCGAATGATTCAAAGCCAGCAAAGGAATTTCCTTTCACTCTCGACTCCTTTCAGTGTGAAGCAATCAAATGTCTCGACACTGGTGAATCGGTTATGGTAATGTATCTTGTCAAGAAAGAGATTTTTTGCTGTACTATGTGTGCAAATTACTAATTATACAAAAAAATTGATAGATACACCATTGAATTGGTTACGGTATTGTATCTTTTCAAGAAAGAGATTTGTTTCTTTACTAAGTTTATACAATTCCTAATTGTACAGAAATTTTAATAGATATTCTATAACTTCAAGAAAGAGATTTGTTACTGTACTATATGCTAAAATTACTAATTATACAAAAGTTTAATAGATATACTATTACCTTTTCATATATTGTAGGTATCAGCTCATACATCAGCAGGGAAAACTGTTGTTGCATTATATGCCATTGCTATGTCATTGCGGAATAAGCAAAGGGTGATATACACTTCACCTATCAAGGCACTGAGCAACCAAAAATATAGGGAGTTCAAAGAAGAGTTCTCGGATGTGGGTTTGATGACTGGAGATGTCACCATTGAGCCCAATGCTTCTTGCTTGGTAGGTCACTAGGTCTGGTGACTAATGGTCATGTTCTGCTTTCTATGCTAGCCTAAAAAAAGTGTCTTGACTTTACTTATCAAAAAAAAAAAAAAAAAAGTGTCTTGACTTTTGGGTCGCTAAGTTGCAATTTGGTTTCAGGTCATGACTACAGAAATCTGGCGAAGTATGCAGTACAAAGGATCAGAAATTATGCAGGAGGTAGCTTGGATTATTTTTGATGAGGTACATTACATGCGTGATAGGGAAAGGGGTGTGGTATGGGAAGAGAGCATTGTTATGGCTCCAAAGAAGTCCCGATTTGTATTCCTTTCAGCAACGGTGCCTAATGCAAAGGAGTTTGCAGATTGGGTTGCAAAGGTGATTTTAATTTGCTTATATTCGATTAACACCAGTTGAGTTGAGATAATTTTGGATGCTTATTATATACTGGATTCAAGGTTGCATTAGAGATTACAAAGAGTGAAACATATTATTTGAGAACACAGAGTAAGATTGAATAATATAATTTGTATTTTGTGATAACTTTCAAGGACGTAAAAGATTAAGTTGATATATATTGTGTGGTAAATATCTTATTTCTAGTCTGTCCTTTGAGCTATAGATGCATGAGTCATGACTTGGATATAATTCAGTATCTTATGTGTGAAATGATGACAGCACAAACTTCTGGCATGATTACCATTGTAGGAGTTAAAGTTAATTTGTTTACATCCTTGCTCAAAGGCTGTTGGTTTTGTAACTTTTAGAAGTGTCTGCACTTCTTATCCTGTATGACATCAAAAAATTTATTTGAATTATTTGTTAAATGATAATATCACTGCTTAATACACTGGTTTTAATATTAATTCATAGAATGCAGGTCCATCGGCAACCATGCCATATCGTTTATACTGACTATCGTCCAACACCACTTCAACACTATATGTTTCCTTCTGGTGGTGATGGTCTGTACTTGGTGGTAGATGAAAAGGGAAAATTCCGTGAGGATAGCTTTCAGAAAGCTTTAAATGCTCTTGTTCCAGCTAGCGAAAGTGACAGGAAAAAGGAGAACGGGAAATGGCACAAGGGTTTGGTGGTCGGTAAAGCTGGTGAAGAGAGTGACATTTTCAAGATGGTGAAAATGATCATTCAGCGTCAATATGATCCTGTAATACTTTTCAGCTTTAGCAAAAGAGAATGTGAATTTCTGGCAATGCAGGTACAGTTTCTTTTTGTATTAAAATGTCCATTTTGAGAAAGGGTTCAGTGTATCTGTGTTTTGTACACTGTCCCTTTTTCTTTTCTTTTTTTTCACATGTAGCCTTCGCTTACAAGTATTATTAGATAAGTATATGTGCTGAGTGAATTAATTCAGTCATGTCATTTAAGTTATCTATATAAATCAAAGGTGCACTGACTCCTTGACACTGCATACGTGGTGATCCACTGTAAACAGGGATCAATTGCACTCATGTTCCATTAAAGATTAACATAATGACATCTTAAACCTTTTGATTACTTCTTTTTGGAAAAAATGAAATAGATTTTTAAATATTTTTTTTTTCTTTATCCGTTTGTGATAATTCTTTAGTATTTGTTTTCTCAAATTTTGGTTCTTTCAATGTTAAACATGTGACATTATTTTCTTTTTGGCTATAGATGGCAAAATTGGATTTAAATGACGACGATGAGAAAGTGAACACAGAAACTATCTTTTGGAGTGCCATGGACATCTTATCAGATGATGATAAGAAGCTACCACAGGCAAGATTTTATTCTATTTTTGTTCCGTGTATGTGCATATGTGTGTAAATGAAATTATACAACTCCTTTACACTGTCTTAAATGCAATGCCGTGGAGTTGTCCTTTTCTGCTTGACTCATTCTATTTGATGAACTTTTGACTATTCCCAGGTTTCTAATATGCTACCCCTCCTGAAACGTGGAATAGGTGTGCATCATTCCGGTTTGCTTCCCATACTGAAGGAAGTGATTGAGATACTTTTTCAAGAAGGGCTCATCAAGGTTGGGAGGAAGAAGTTATAAATCTGTTTTTGATTGTGGGATTGTGTTATTTTTGGTTATCATAAATGGTTTTCCCTCTTCCATATCATTAACAATTTAACATAATTAGGTCAATCAGATTCCGAGCTATTCTATATATTCTGAAGCTTGAAATTTGTTAAAATTTCTACATGATTTAATATGATGAGGAGCGTAATATTATACATGAGTTAATGCATCGTGTGGGTCTTTTTTGGCATTGCTTACCTCTCCAAAACCTGGTCTTGTTTATTGTATCTTCTCAATTGTAACCAAGACCAATAGAGCAATTTCTAGACAAGATTAGGCTCTCTTACCATAAGACATTAGAATGATTCTAATGAATGTAATAGGGTTTATTTATTTATTTGGAGAGGTAGAATATTTTTGCTAATATGAAATATTATTAGCTGTAAACTTGTATTATTTTATTTTCTAGCTTTTTGCATTTGATCACTCTGTTCTGGTATTAATATTATGTTTTACTGCAAATTTGCTTCAAAATTTATTTACTGTTTTTGTCATACTGAAACGTGTTTGTTCAGTGTTTGTTTGCCACAGAGACATTTAGCATTGGTTTGAACATGCCTGCAAAAACTGTTGTGTTTACAAATGTTCGCAAATTTGATGGAGATAAATTTAGATGGATATCTAGTGGGGAGTATATACAGATGAGTGGTCGTGCTGGACGTCGAGGAATTGACGAACGTGGGATATGCATCCTCATGGTGGATGAGAAGCTGGAACCTTCAACTGCTAAAATGATGCTTAAAGGAAGTGCTGATTGTCTCAATAGGTGTGTTTTACTTCTGCTGCTTTTGGTGCGGCATGATTGGCAAAGCAGCCTAATCTATATGATTATGTTATTATAAGGGAAAAGAATCGTACTTTAGTTTTCATTTATTGTTTTAGTTGGTTATATTTCACCAGTTTATTAGGGAAAAGAATCATACTTTAGTTTTCTGTGGCATTTTTTGGATTTCAGTTTGTTTGTAGTTTTGGTGGACTCTTATTAGTTTTGCGTTTAAAGAACTTGTAGTTGTTAGCTCAGCCAGTGAATGTCACCAGAACTTTTGAATGCATGCCCTTGACCCCTGTCAAAATTTTAATGGTGGTTGTTAGCTATATTAAAACAAGCAAGTACATTTAGAAGAAATACCTGCTTCTTGTTTATAAAAGTATTGATGAAATATTGTGGGGATAAGCTCTGTTGACTAAATATTTTGCTGGGACATCTTCTCGTAACACCCTTAGTTGAAACCGAACTTGCTGCCTGATTTAGGTGTTTTAATTTTCTACCGCTTGACATTTGAGCTAGGGCTGATGTGTTTCAAGTTCTGCTTAGTTCCTTGGAAGTCATTGCAGTTAGCTTGCAACTCCCGCACTTGATTTCTTTTTTAAATGGCTACTATATAATTGCAAAAGGCAAGTTGAAGTTTTTCAAATAAATGCACATATAGAGTCCGTGATACCTGTTGAAAAATAATGAATTGGAGAATAGATTGAAGAACCTATGTCATCATGAAGTTATGAAAGAATGTTTAAGAAGTGAAAATATATTGAGATGAAATCATTTCACTCCTCAAATTTGGAGGGATCCTCTGATAGTTTGCAAGAAGAACTCTCTATTGCATAAATCTATGAAGGTTGAAAACTGTCGTGAACTTAAAAGGTTCTAGAGAAGTTTCCGCTAGTGTTTTGTTGGATGATTTGGCTCTTTAAAATATTTTAACATGGTAATATTGAAGGCAAATGAGGGTAATACTAGGGTAGAGGAAGACCAAAGTTAACATGGGTAGAGTTGGTAAATAAAGATATGATAGCATGTGGATTGGCTGAGGCTATGGCCTTAAATAGAGGGAATGGAAACATGAGATTCATGTAGCCGACCCCAAATCATTGGGAAAAGGCCTGGCTGCCTGGTTGTTGTTGTTGTAATATTGAAGGCAATTATGAAATGTTATATCACTGTGAGATTGATGTGGGGATCTATAAATTTTTCAAGAGAAGTGACATTATACTCAAGTTGATTCTTTCACGCTAATGTTTTGTTGGATGATTTGGCTCTTTAAAATATTTTGACATGGTAATATTGAAGGCAAATGAGGGTAATACTAGGGTAGAGGAAGACCAAAGTTAACATGGGTAGAGTTGGTAAAGAAATATATGATAGCATGTGGATTGGCTGAGGCTATGGCCTTAAATAGAGGGAATGGAAACATGAGATTCATGTAGCCGACCCCAAATCATTGGGAAAAGGCCTGGCTGCCTGGTTGTTGTTGTTGTAATATTGAAGGCAATTATGAAATGTTATGTCACTGTGAGATTGATGTGGGGATCTATAAATTTTTCAAGAGAAGTGACATTATAGTCAAGTTGATTCTTTCACAAGTATGCACAAATCCAGTTTGAATGTCATCGGTAGTGGATAGCCACTCTCTGAATGTATCTGATTGGGCAAGCTTTAAACCTGGACCAGGTTTTTATTGTGAATTAGCACCAAAAGAAACAATTGGCTCTGCATTCTATAATCATATGATCTAACTTAAAGAAACAATCCGCTTTGCATTCTGTAATTATATGATCCAACTTTTTAGTTATTCTAGTGTTTTTAGAAAAGATTATCACTTTAATCATGAAAAAATGAAAACTAAATGAGCAGTGTTCACTGTTCAGCTATTGCTAGGATTTATTTTTTTATTTTTTTTTTTACGCTGACACTAAATTTCATGCATTTCAGTGCCTTCCATTTAAGCTACAACATGCTTTTGAATCAAATGCGATGCGAAGATGGTGATCCTGAAAATTTGCTTCGTAACTCATTCTTTCAATTTCAGGCTGATCGAGCCATTCCTGATCTTGAGGTCAGTGCATTCTTTGGCTTCTTTCTTTTCTTTGTCCTACTTCAAATTATATTAATTATTTAATGATTAATTTTTTTTTTTTTTGCAGAAACAAGCAAGGGAACTTGCAGAGGAGAGGGATTCAATTGTAATTGAAGAAGAAGATAGTTTGGAAGATTATTACTCTCTGTTGCAGCAGTACAGAAGTTTGAAGAAGGATGCCCGTGATATTGTTTTTTCTCCAAGGTACTGCTTGCCCTTCTTGCAGCCTGGCCGGCTTGTATCTATACAGTGCTCAAAGAATGATGAAAATTCCCCATCTTTCTCCATTGAGGACCAGGACACATGGGGAGTGATAATCAACTTTGAAAGGGTGAAAAGCCTTTCTGAAGGTAAAAGATGGTTTCCATTTTAACTTTCTACTTCTCCATTCTGATTGTCTTAAATTACTAATATTCAATGCATGATTTAGATGATGTGAATAAAAAAACAGAAGATGCAAACTACACAGTGGACGTCCTTACAAGATGTGCAGTTCGCAGGGATGAAGTTGCAAAAAAAACAATTAAGATTGTTTCATTGAAGCAGTCTGGAGAACCTGTTGTTGTTTCTGTTCCTATCTCTCAGGCATAGTCTCTTAACTATTATACTACTCACTGATACTTGTTTATCTGTTCATTCTGTTGGAAATTGCCATGGATGTAAGTTAGGCTTTCTATTTATTTTCTGCGTAATTTTTCTAGCTAATAGTGGAATTATAATAAGTTAGAACCAGTTATCAAATTATTTGACAACCTGCTCAAGGTCCTCTATTTTGGTTGGGAATTTTTCTAAATACCATGTCCAGTTAGCTGAGATCTCTTTTATTATAGAAGTTTTTTGCGTGCTAAGGTCTCTCCAAGGTGGGGCGTCTTTGCATGATTGGCCCTACATTGGAAGATTCCAACGATAGATAATCTTGTGAGGAGAGAGAAATTTCTTCCTAACTTGTGCTGTATGTGCAAGGAAGCACCGGAGTATGTGGACTATTTTCTAATTTTTTGCCGTGACTGGAGTGATAAGGGTTTTATTATTAGCTTTGTTCAGGATGACGGGTGTTCCCAAATTTGTGAAGGCTTTATTTTGGAGCTTGAGAGGGTGGAGTAGGGAGGAGAGAAAAGAGGCCCTGGACTGCTGCCCTGCTTTATCTGATGTGGTGGATTTGTAAGCGGGGAAGCTGGCATTCATTTCAGGGAATGGAGGGTCCATTAACGGTGATTTTTCTTTTTTAGCTGTATGCAGGGAGGGTGAATCATTTCCTCGAAGGTTTTCTGGATACTGTAGAAAATGCTGATTCCTTTTTGTTTATAGGTTATATGGGTTTCTGTATCTAGTGCATGTATATGGATTGTGCTTATATTGGTAACGCAATCCTTGTCAAAGAGAACAAAAGAAAGAGAGGAGGGGTCTGTGGTGGGTTGGTGGAAGGAAAGAACCCATGGCTCCCGAAAAGATCAATTACTTTTTTGGAAAGGTGTTTTTATTTTTCATTGATCAATTTTTATTATTATTATTATTTTTTTCATTTGAGTGATTATATTTAATATCTCAATGATATTAGAGAAGGTGGAAACCTGAATTTCTTTCTCTTTTTTTATCTTGTGTCCTGCGCTGTAGCTGGTGTTGGGTGTCATAACACAAAATCTACCCAGATAAAACTTCTTTTATCTTTTTTGTATTGGTTATATTTGACTACCTTCAATTTAATATGGCCATCATAGCTTACTTGTTGAAATTTTTTATGAACAGATCAATAGTTTAAGTAGCATCCGTTTGATCATACCAAAGGATCTCTTGCCATTGGAGGCTCGAGAAAATACCCTGAAGAAGGTGTCAGAAGTTCTCTCAAGATTTGCTAAAGAAGGGATGCCACTCTTGGATCCTGAAGAAGACATGAAGGTGCATCACACTTTTTTCTCCCCAAAATGGGAATCTATACATAATATAATTTTCATCTGCATCTTTCTTTCGTTTAGTTTTCATCCTTTTTACTGCAAAATTTTCAGGTTCAAAGTAGCTCATACAGAAAGGCAGTCCGCAGGATAGAGGCTTTAGAGAACCTGTTTGAAAAGCATGAAGTTGCAAAGTCGCTGCTTATTGAGGAAAAGCTCAAAGTCTTACACATGAAGAAAGAACTTACAGCCAAGATCAAATTAATTAAGAGAACAATGCGTTCTTCCACAGCACTGGCTTTTAAAGATGAACTTAAGGCGAGGAAACGAGTTCTCAGGAGGCTAGGGTAAGACATTTTTATATGTTTCAATTTTATTTTTATTTATAATTACCAGGGAACCTTTTACTTATCAAAAAAGAAAAAGAAAAAAAAGAGGGAACCTTTTTCAGCGGCAGTATTTTTGCCACAGTGCCACTACATGATTTGAAGGCTTAGCCATTTTGCTTTGACACCTGTATAAGTTCTGGGATCTGGAAATTGGAATCCTCCTCCTAAGGGGTTCCTGTTCTAAGATCCTATTTGCTTTTTTTTTTTTTTTTGGACCTTTCTTCAGATTATCAATCAGAAAGAAGTGTCACTCCTCCTATAACAGTAACCTTTTGTAGTCATATCTTTTTAGATTTGAGACTCAAAACTTTTTCAACTATGACTATCCTATTAACTATCAAGGATGCCAAATCCTTTTGTCTGTTCCGACTTTTTCCTTCCTTATATTTGAGATTCTGTTCGTGTATGTCTTTTTCTATAGTGGTATTGATGGAGAAGGATAGCTTATCCATAATGGTTGTTAAACAGCTAGTGTCCCCTTTCCCTCTCCCCCAGAAAGCCTTCCTAGATATTTGACACTGGAATGTGGTTTTAGATGTAACCACAAAATGATTTTTTTTTTGGGTTAAATGCTCCAACACCCCCTGAGGTTTGGGTTTATTGGTCTCAGATTAAACCTGAGCAAAAGTTGCTATGTTTGGTTTAATTTGCCCTCACACCCTTGATAAAATTAAATGCCTAAATTACCCTCCATCCCCACTTCTCTCTACCCACCCTTGATATATATATATATATATTACTCCACCACCATGACGCCCCACCTCTCCCCACCACCATAATTGCCGCTCGCCCCTCTCTCTACTACCATCATCAACTCCTCTCCATCGGCGCCTCACCCTCTCTGTCTACCACCACGCCATCAGCTTCTCACCAACTTCTCTCCATATATATCTCTCTTACTAAGATAAAGAATGAAGAACACAGAAAACAACCAAACTTAAGTGCTAAGTTCTTAAATTCTAAATTATATAGTATTTTGTCAAATATTTGGAACTGCAGTTGGCTTCCATTCTAAAGATTTTTTCTTCAACTTTCCATCCGAATAATTTAATCCAAAGCCACTTAGAAACAATAGATCAGATCATCAGAGTCTACTAAATCAAATTGATACAATATACATATTGATAGAATTTTGAACTCACCAAACCCATTTACAAACAACAATACAGAGCCCAATTTGAGTTAATTATGAACTCATGAAATTGATACACCGGTGGTTGATTCCGAGAAGCCGAGCTTGCTTTTGGGTCTGTTATAATGGAGCACACGCCGGAGATGCCAAGCTTGCCTTCGGGTCTGTTACAATGGAGCACACACCGGAGACACCGGATGGTTGGTCGTTGATGTACTCCGGTTAGATTGGTCACCGAATCTCTATGTTGAAGCTACACCTGAGAACTTCGCTGGAGCTGAAGCTTTCTCTATCTTTCCATGGTTCAAAACTCGCTGGCAATGGTTCAGTAACCTTCACCATAGTGGGTCGTGGTAGTTTTGAGTTCACTGGTCTGAGCTGGGATTTTCCGAGTGTGGGTGTTTGCTTAAAGCTCGCCGTTGGTTCAGTTTAAGCTTGGTTGTTTCTGTTTTACTTTGTTTTGGGTCGATGAAGTTCATCGGAAAAACTTGGTTTGGCCGAACTTGGTGTTTGCCGGATTTAATGGAGGAATGAATCTTGGCCGGCGTTCATGGATGTTGCTTGCTCTGTGCTTGTCGCCGAGTGGGACTCTCTCACTTGTGTTTGTATATATATATTGTAGCTTACTGCGGCTCACCACACATGGATGCGGATATGTGTGTGTGTATATATATGTAGTATATATTTATTTATCTCGTTTGGCCCAGCAAGCAAATGAGTTTTCCCAATACATGACACTTATTATGGGACGGAGGTAGTATATATTTATTTATCTCGTTTGGCCCAGCAAGCAAACCCAGTCTCACTTGAGTTTCGACTACAGTTTTTTCCCTTCTGCACCGCCATTGTCAACACCGTCAAAGGCTTCAACATCAATGTTGCCTTTGCCTTTGTCGTTCAATTTGAAGTTAAAGTTCTCTCCAGCGACGGCCATGGTAGCCTCTAGAGATTTTCTACGCTAGTAATTTGGGTGATATTTGGCCCATGGGCAACAGATCAGTTGAATCGGAGACGTCAGCCAATTCTATCTATCAAATGAAAGGTCGAGTGGTTCTATCCTTTCTTTCTCCCTAAGGAAAAGGATCAGGTTGATGATGTGGAAGAGGGACTCGTTGGCAGGTTTGGCCTCGACAAGAGGTGTACAGTGGTGTCTTGGCGTAGAGGTGGTTAGAGAGAAAGTGGGGATTGAGGGTAATTTAGGTATTTAATTTTATCAAGGGTGTGAGGGCAAATTAAACTAAACTTGAAGAGGGTGTCATAGCAACTTTTGCTCAGGTTTAATCTGAAAGCAATAAACCCAAACTTCAGGGGGTGTCGGAGCATTTAACCCTTTTTTTTTTTAATGTTTTTAATTTATCGTAGTTAGTGAAACCTTTGTTCTCGTTGATCTCCTACTATTTTTTTGATATGCTTCAGTTTGGCCTTCTCTTCTCCATAGGACCATTAAAGTTTCAAAGTTCATCAACCAAAAGAAAGAAATGTCTGTGCACATGTAATAAAGGAAAGGTACTTCCAAGGTATCTGAATAATTCGAAATGGTGATAGAAGCTATATAACACGTCTCTGATTGCAGAATATTGCGATCAGGTTTTTATAATTGCATTGGAAATATTGGGTTGAGATTGATTTGCTATATTAGTTGAAACTTTGCATGTTATACAAAATAAACTGGGCCACTATATCTAAACTCTGTTGGAACACATCATTAATTAGTGAAAAAGCCAATTATATTCTTGTTTGCAGATCGTAAAAATTATGTCCAACAAATTATAATTTATATTGTGCTGCAATTTAACAGTAGGAAATGATGGAGCTGATTCCCAATCTACTTTCCGGTAATGCTACACGGCCGCCTTGTTTGTAATCTTATTATATTCCCTACAATTACCAAAGTTGCAGATTTACTCTTTCCATTTCTTCTGTTCTCTAAACTGTGATTCCGTTCTCTACTTTACCGCAATTGCATTGGAAATAAAATGAAAATTTTGAAGAATTGCTTATAACGGACTTATCTGCAGGTATGTTACAAGTGACGACGTTGTGGAGTTGAAGGGTAAGGTCGCTTGCGAGATCAGTAGTGCAGATGAGTTGACTTTGACTGAACTTATGTTTAATGGGGTTTTGAAGGACATAAAGGTAGAAGAGATGTTATCTCTTCTCTCTTGTTTTGTGTGGCAAGAGAAGCTTCAGGATGCTCAAAAACCCAGGGATGAACTTTATTTGCTCTTTACACAATTACAAGATACAGCTCGCAGGGTCGCCAAAGTTCAGCTTGAGTGCAAGGTATCTGTGGCTCTTCTAGGTTTTGTTAATATGTATGCATGTTGCACTCTCTATTATGGACGGATAAAGTAATTTGTTGTGTTAGGTAAAGAAAAAATACTGCTCAAGAAATGAAAGCAGTGATGAAGTAACTAGGAGCTTATAAGAAATGAAGACGTGTCACAGTTCCTATTTATAATTCAATTGACGCTCTTTATTAAATACAAGAGTTGGGTCTCTTTCTCAGTGTTGGGGTTTTCTTTTTCCTTTGGGTAGTGGAGCAAAGTGTATATTTGTGGTTTATTAAAAGAACTGTAGCTATTAGCTTTAGTGGTGACCTCAAGATGGAATGTGAATTCCTGGTTGGAACATGAGTATGTCTATAAACAAAATAATAATAATAATAATAATAATAATAATAATAAAAGAGAGAGAGAGAGAACATACTTAATAAATGAAATTATGCAATTACATGTCTTACCTTTCCCAAAAAAAAAAAAGGAACAGACTTAATATATGAAATTCAGCAATCAAAACTAGACTGTCCAAACAAATTATATTATTTCCCTTTCTATATTTCACTTTGGCATCCCTCTTGATAACTGCATATGATTTAATCATGTTGATAAATGTTCTTTTACTTTTAATTATGCATTATCAGATTTTTTTTTTTTTTTTTTTTTTAATGCCTTCCACAGATCCAAATTGATGTGGAGAATTTTGTGAGTTCTTTCCGGCCTGATATCATGGAAGCTGTGTACGCTTGGGCGAAAGGGTCCAAATTTTATGAGATTATGGAAATCACACCGGTTTTTGAGGGCAGCTTGATCAGAGCGATCAGGAGACTGGAGGAAGTTCTCCAACAGCTAATACAAGCAGCAAAATCAATTGGAGAGACAGAACTTGAATCAAAATTTGAAGATGCTGTCTCCAAGATCAAGAGGGATATTGTCTTTGCAGCATCTCTCTACTTGTAGTTCCTTGCAGAAATATTTAAATTATTTCGCGACACTGGCAATTGGCACAAAACAGAGGGGAGAGAAAATTCTTCCCTAGAAAACAATTGGAACCAAACCACAAGAAGTGTAAGAATAGTTACTGGTTATAGAAGAGACGAAGGAGATGGGTTTAGTCAAGTTTTCTGGTGCATATCAAGCTCCCGTAAAATTTGCTCCTTAAAAGTATCTCTCGATATTTATTTTGTGCTACAAAAAAGATGACGAAGCGTTTCCCTATTTTAAACAAGGATCCCCTTTCTGAGTAGGGATGGAAGATGATCCTCAATATTCAATTTGGAGTCCACGGCAACAAAACAAGGATCCCCTTTCTGAGTAGGGATGGAAGATGATCCTCGATATTCAATTTGGAGTCCATGGCAACAAAATCCAGAATGGATGTTTTGCTCCCATTCACCATTGACCCTTCACTTGTAGCATATTTCTTATATAATGTGTGGTGACAAATCTATTTATCAGCATTAGTTTCTCAAAATCTTTGTTATTTGTGTAACCCTAACAGGAATTCGAGATTGTGCTTCTCTGGTTTTCTTATACAACAAAAGTACCTTAAGGTTTTGTTCCTGAAATGTTCCTAATTTTCTCTGTATTTGTAATTCTTGTATGCATAAGTTCCAAATTTTTGGTGTTTACAGGTCGCCACTAAATCCCTGCCTGGTGTAAATATTTTTCTCACTTGTTTGGTGAGGATCTTTATTGGTTATTTCTTCTTTTTATATATGAATTTTTGCAACTGCTGTACACCTTTATTGTGATTTAAGATGATATTACTTTCCCATTCCCAAAACTAGAGTCAGAGATGTAAATTGGTTTTTTTTTTTCTTTTTTCGCATGCACCAATATTTTCATTTGGTGGTTTTACATAATTTTGAGTTGAAACCACTTGAATGAATGGGGGAGAATGAGAATCTGAAAAAGCAGTAGGTGTGGTAGATAGAGCCAGCCTTGGAAAAAAAGTAAAACAATTCAGCTATATGTGTGTGTGTGTGTGTGTGTATATATATATATATATTGTATGTCACTACTAACATTTCTTAATTTCAACAAACATTGCACAAACTTAAACTCCATTTACACCACTATTTGACCCCCAACACTCAATAGAGACCAAGCTCCTGAAACTTCAAAGCAGAAAATAAAACAATCCTGACTGACACCGCCTCCTTTATGAAAGAAGCTCACGTTGACACCCTTTAAGAAATCAGCACTTTTTTATGCAGTAATCAAATTATTGTTGTATAAATATTACTCTACTAGTTGCTCCTCAAGGACACATATCATATCATGCGCTCAGCACAATTAAATCTAGTTTCAACACGTTACTTCCAGCGTGAAGTAAACAAAGAACGCTGTAGCGTGAAGTAAACAAAGAACGCGCTACAGCAGAGGATTCAAACGCTGGCAATTTGACTCTTACATTTCAGTGAACTTCTCTGATGCGAAAACAGGGACAAAAACAACGAATCAGATGGATACCGATGTCAACCACACATCCGAAAAGCCCAGCCTCTCTTTCTCTCCTAACTGGTGGTGCAACAGGCATGCCATACGCTGGGTTCGGAACCATATATTGTTGATAAGAAGTGATGCTGGTGGTGCTGCTGATGGATAACGTTGGATCTAGTGGTTTCAACTCGGGAACAATCTCTTGTGGAGGAGGTAACTGAGCTTGACTTGAACTGGCAAAGCCTAGAAGAGGTGGGCTGATCTCAGCTGCCAAAATGGTGTCGTGACTCTGCCCGTAATCGAGCCAGGGAGGCAAGGGCGGAGCCGAGGGCTGAACCGGGTGGTAAGAGAAGTGACAATGCCATGGTGGTGGAGGATATTCAATGTCATGGCTGTTCTTTCTTTTCTTCTTCTTCTTCTTCTTTCTTGACCAGAACTTGAACTTCTTCACTGCTTGGATCATTTTCATGACCTCCTTCAGTATAAAAAGGGAGAGAGAGAGAGATGTAGATTAAGATACTGAGAATTTTGGTTTTAATGATAGGAGCCAGAATGCAGAGTGGTAAAGGCGCATCTTTGAAATAAAGGGCTGTGGGTCCGGAAGGAGCTTTAAAAGACAATAATTCAAATCTTATGACCGTTACTTTTCCATTAGCCCACCGACTTCCAAAGAATTCTCTCTATTTCTTTTATTAGAAAAAAAAATAATAATAATAATCAATTTCTTGTGAACCCTTTTCATTGTAAGTGTATGTGTGTGTGTGTATATATATATATATATATATATATATATATGTTAGTGTCGCATTATTAAACTTTTGCTTTGTAAATTATGATAAAATTCTCAACTAATCTTCTTTTTGTTATATGATTTGGGTATAAAGTGGGCATGATATGTTCATTATTAGGGTTGTCGATTTATTATTAATATTTTTTACACGTGGACTAATCAAATTTCGTAAATTAACAAGAACAAACCTTTTTAAAGACAATTTGACCTGTATCCGGTTTAAAAATAAATATGCCTATAATAAAATAGTGACAATATTTATTATTATTATTATTTTTTCAAATATTGACTACTTTTTTCACTAATAGCTTCGGGCTGAACATTTTCCATTCAAAATTTCAAATTGACAATATTGTTTCAAACATGTGTTTGGTGAAAAATAAAAATAAATAGATGATCAATATTTTCCTTATCATTGACAGAGAGTATTATTGCATACAATGCCTTGGTAAGGTTGTGATTGTAATTTACCACAAAACTCAAGTTCATACCAGCACTTGAGCTTGGAAGACCAACTTGTCGTCATTGTTCTTTATCTATCTATATTACACATATGTATAAAACATTTAGGATACGTTTGGATAGGGTGAATTTTGAGTGATAGGAAGAGAAAAGATCGAGAGAGATAGGGAGGAATACATTTCCTATCTTTTCAAAAAAAAAAAAAGAAGTAGAAGAAAGAAGAAGTGCATATAACTCCTTGTATTATTAATCTTTTGAGCAATTTGCCTCCTATTGAATGGATTCGTTGGAAAAGAGTAGTTGGTGACGTCATTTAAAAAAAAAAAAAATCAAAAGTGCCCTTTTTATGTGACAAAAATGCCTCTACTAATTTTGTATATATTTGAAAACTAAATGGGTTTGTTTGGATGTGTTTCAAGACCTGTCCAAGGAAAACTCTCTATGTGTTGTCATATTCTACCTCTCTAAAAAAATATATTATCTCTCTAAAATATCTTGCCACCGGCAATATTCTCTCTCTAATTTTTTTTCTCTATAAATTATTTTTTGTGGCTGCTATTATTGCTCTTTCTATTTTTTTTTTCTCTCTAAAATTTTTCTGTCGCTGCCAATATTATCTCCTCTCTAAATGATAGGTGCATTGTATTTTCTTGTAAATGATTGAGCCTCCCTTAATTATATATTTATAATAATAATAATAATAATAATAAATGAATTTGCTTTGACACAAATTATTATCGATGAACGTAGGATTTCTATCAAAATTAAAATTTTGATCGAGTTACTCTTCGACTGGACATAACCTCAATTAACACATTTTTTAAAAAGATTTAGGGTTTTAAGCCCTTATAAGACATATATATCGGATTCCCAACGAAGTGGTAAAGATTAGAGGTGGTCATGAATCGAATCGGATCAGATTAGGCATCCTGATCTGATCCGCTCACAACGGATTGGGAGATTTTGAATCCATCACCAATCCGTTAGCAAACGGATCGGATCGGATTCGTTAAATAAAGATCGGATCAGATCCAATCCACAAATTGAATTTTTCAAAATAGTCTATTTTTACTAATTTTAGATCCACTCACAAAGCTGTATAACATAAAAACCAATTTAAATGCATAATAGGTGAGACGACGGCTTTTCTCTATGCTCTTCCGTAATACTTTGAGTTTTTTCATCTTTGGCTAGGTTTAGGTTTTGATTAAATGAAAAGTCTGTGGTCCATTGCTATTGATTGAGTAATAAATATTATAAAACTAATCGTATAATACTTGCTAAAAAAAGAAAACACAAAAAGAACGGTATATTAGGAGTTCATATATATATATATATATACATATATATATAATATTAATATTATAGTAATATCTATACTTTTTGGTAAGCATATATATATTACGAATTCACAGATCGGATCGGATTTTTGACAGCCTAATCCGCCACTGATCCATGGGACTACGAATTCAATTTTTTTTGAATCCGCCACCAATCCGTGGGATTGTCAATCCGATCCGTACGAATCAAATTGGATTCACGGATTCTCGAATTTTTTGCCCGCCCCTAATAAATATCAATCCTACAATCCAATGGAGTCTCCAAAATTTTCCACTCTCGTGCTTAGCATTCAAACTTCGGCTAGAAATGAGGATATATTGGGCCCATTCTGTTCTTGGCTTCAATGGGTTATTTAATTGACCTGGTCATCTCATGACCCAATTACAACCCTTTTTTTTTTTTTTTCTTTTGATTAACCAGACTTAATTCCACTATAAAAGAATGGCTGCACTACAATTAGAGAAAATGGTGATACCACGAAGTTAATATCCGAGATGACCCATCTAAGCTCAATGAGCCATCGGATAAATAAATGTCATCAACCCAATTACTTTATTGAACCTTTATTTTGATTCTTTGATTATATTTTGTTTGATCACATAAAACTTCCTTTGATAAAATAATATATTTAATAAATAAATAAATATAAAACCCATTTTCTCAAAACCATTTTATAAAAAAACCGAGGCCCCAGATTTTTCATAATCAAACTAATCATGTCAAAATAAATGTCATATCATAGATTCATTCCTGAGAGTATATGTTCCAATGTCAATAATGAGTGGCTACCCAAAGTACTCGATTCTCGGGCCATAACACTTATGAGGACTAGGGCGAATGGTGGGCTCAGGTTCAGGTGGGCTTGAACTCACAAAAAAAAAAATTATTAATCGTATTAGCTCACCCAATCAAGCCCAAGTCAACTCAGTCACCATACTAAAATGCAGGTCCAAGCCAAATAAGCTCAAGGCCTGCCCTGACCCAAGGCATCCCCCCCCCCCAAAGAAAAAACATATTTTCCCGACACCTAAAGAAAAAACATATTTTTAGGGCAAATCATTTTAGCCCCCCCCCCCCCCCCCCCCCCCCCCCCCGGCCGTGCGGCGCAACTGCAAACTACAAAATCTATAAGAAAAAGAAGTTCAAAACCCATATATTTCAGTTTATCTATCTGTCGGCAAGAATCAAAAGTTCAAAACCTCTTACTTATATCAAACAGGCCGGTCCTGACCCGACAAAAGCGGTTACCTAAGGCCTCAAAATATATGGAGCCTCAAAATTTATAGGCCCATGGATGATGGGTCACCAAAAAACAAAATATTTTTAGGGCAAATCATTTCAGCCTTTGTCAAAAAAATTATTAATGATAAATTATTGTACTAGTTTGAAAACTCGAAGCACTGAATATCATTATCACCGTATCAGAATCAAATCTGTCAAATCCGCAACTCCAGTACCAAATCTGTTTTTTGACCGGTATATTTGACCAAACTTACTTTTTGATCGGTAATTTGACCAAACCTCCTTATTAGGGCAAATCATTTCCGCCTCCCCAATCGCCTCCATCTCTATTCTCGTTCTCAATTCTGAACTTACCCCCTCCCTCTCTCCCCCTCTCTCTCCAAAACCCATATATTTCGGTTTATCTATCTGTCTGTCCGCAAGAATCAAAAGTTCAAAACCCATATCGGCATATAATTTCAAATTGTTCAAAAAATCAAAACCCATATCTTTCAGTTTCCATCGCTCGCTGTTCCAGTTCGGGTTCACCGTTCGCAACTTCAGCCGCTGGCCCGCTGTCTCTCAACTATCAAGCTTGCCCCCCCTCTCTCTCTGCAATTGCTAACTTGTATGTATGGGTTTTGTTTTAATTTTTTTTTCTAAATCAACTAATCAATTCTTGTTTTGCAAACTAAATCCTATTTGGTGAAATTTTTTATGATATTGTTTATATAATTTTTTTTTTTTTACAATATAAACTAACAAAAATTGCATTGCATTTTGAGGTAATCACAGTAATCTACATTTTATTTCAGCAAAACAAATATAATTTTTTTTTTTCTATAACTTCTAATTTTTTTTTTTTGGTCAATTATGTCTACAAGAAAATTAGAATCTGGGAATTAAAAAAGAAAAAAAAAAAAAAAAATCTGAATTGAATTAGAAATCTGCAGAGATTGAATCTGAAACAATTTTTATCAACATGCCAAGCTTTTTGAAGATGGAAATCTTTTCAGAACTTGAGAAAAAAAAAAGAAAAAAAATCATAACAAGAACTTTGACAAGTAAAAGTACTTAATGTAGGGTAAAGCTCTAAAGTTACTTCTTGAAAATTAAAATACTTACAAAAAGCATGCCTTTGAGTGAATTCCATAGTATTGGAAGGGGTTTGCCATGAACTACCTCACACTCTGATTCCACTAGTAGATTCTCAAATAGGATTAGTAAATTGGTCAAAAAAAGAGATAGGGCACTGAGTGGTGAATTGTTCAGAAATAAATTGGGGTTTTTTTTATTTATTAATTACCCAATTAGGTTTTTCTATGCCTCAATCAGTCAATCCTCTAAAGAAACATTTTTAATTAACTAAAATTGAATTAAACAACAGTTGGTTTTGGTTGATATATTTTGATTTAGCCCACCCCATTGAGAAATTCTGGATCCGCCCTAGTTCAAACCACCGATACCCATACAGACAGCAAGAAATAGTGTAAGGAGGGGGAATACCGCCGCTGTCTAGGTCTCGAAATTCTTACTACCCGTCTCGCAGCAGTCATAGGTGTGCCTTGTGGAACTTCTGGATTTTCTATGGGAAAAGTGCATCATTTTCTCTCTTTTTCCCGTGTTTTTAATATATATATATTTATTTATTTATTTATAAATGCATTCTTGTTATGCTATTGTTATACTATATTTGTAGAGGCAAAGATACACCAACAAAAATCAACTTGAATTTA